CTTTCTGTCAGTGAGGACCTGAGGCCTCCTGCCAATAGCCAATAAGGAACCCAGGCTTCTTGACAAAAACCATGAGTGGACCACCTTGGAAGCAGATCCTCTAGCCCCAGTCAAGCTTTCATATGACTTCAGCCTCAGTTAACATCTTGACCCGTTTTTGATCCTGAGCCAGAACTACCCAGCTAAATGCTCCTGAATTTCTGACCCACAGAAACTGTGAGATAACTGTTTATTGTTCCAAGCTGTTAAGTTTTGAAGTAATTTATTATGTAGCAATAGATAATATTTAATGATAATAGATAAAAACACACTCAGGCCGGGCGCGGTGGCTCAAGCCTGTAATCCCAGCACTTTGGGAGGCCGAGGCGGGTGGATCACGAGGTCAAGAGATCGAGACCATCCTGGTCAACATGGTGAAACCCCGTCTCTACTAAAACTACAAAAAATTAGCTGGGCATGGTGGTGCGTGCCTGTAATCCCAGCTACTCAGGAGGCTGAGGCAGGAGAATTGCCTGAACCCAGGAGGCAGAGGTTGCGGTGAGCCGAGATCGCGCCATTGCACTCCAGCCTGGGTAACAAGAGCGAAACTCCGTCTCAAAAAAAAAAAAAAAACAAAACAAAAACACACTCAAACTACCAAAGCTTACTCAAAAAAACTACACAATTGAATAGTCCTATATCTATAAAAGAAATGGAATTCATGGTTAAAAGCTTTCAACAGAGAAAACTCCAGGTCTGGATAGTTTCATTATTGGCATTTAAGAAAGAAAAAAATACAAGCTATTAGCTTAATTGTTGCTCCTTTCAAAGTAATATTTTTTTCTTTGGCTGCTTTATGCTTTTTCCATCTTTGGTTATCAGCAGTTTCACAATGGTGTAATTTCATGTGGTTTTCATTTTATTTATTATCCTGTTTGGGGTTTATAAGGGTTCTTGAATCTGAAGTTTGATGTCTCTCAGTTTTGTTTTAAAAACTTTTTTTTAATATATGTTTTGTATTCTTTTTTTGTTGTTGTTTTACCCAAGTCCTGCCTTAGGATCTATCTTTCAATTTTGTAAGGTTTTTGATAATTATCTCTTAAACTATTGCTTATGTTTCATTTTCTTTCTCCTCTCCTGGGACATAAATTTCCTCTATTAGATATTCTTACAAAATCTGTGTCTCAACTTTTGTATTTTTATTATTTTGTCTCTCTGCATCATTCTGGATTTTTTCTTCTAACTTGTATTCATTCACCAATTCTTTTTTCAGCTATGCCTGTCCTGTCAAATCTGTCCATCAAACTCCTAATTTCAATCATGCTAATTTTCAGTTCTAGTATTTCCTTTAAAAAAATTTTAATTGCCACAAAAAACTGTACATACTTATGGCATATATGGAGATATTTCGATACATATACTGTATAATGATTAGATCAGGGAAATTAGCATATTCTTCAACTCAAACATTTATCATTTGTGTTGGGAACATTCAGTATCCTCTATTTGGAAATATATATTATTGTTAACTATAGTTATCCTACAGTGTTAAAGAATGCTAGAACTTACTCCTCCCATCTTCTTTCATTTTGAATATAATTTTCAATTCTTTGTCAAATTTCTTGTAATTTTTTTTTTAGAAGTTTGTCTCTGAAAACTCCAATATCTAGAGGTCCCTACAGATGTTTAAATAAAAGTTTCTGCTGGTGTTCAATCATGCCTCTTTGTGTGGCTTCTTTTTATTGTGTGTTCTACAGTGTACCTGCAAAACTATTTATAGATTTATTTTGATGCCTAGTTTTCTACTGCTATGTAACAATATTACCACAAATCTAGTGTCTTAAGAACAACACACATTTGTTATCTCACAGGTTCTGTGGGTCAGCAGTCCAAGCACAGACTAGCTGACTTCTTTGTTTCCTAGTCTCAAAAGGCTGCAATTAAGGTGTTAGCCAGGGCTGAGGTCTCAGCTAAGGCTCCAGGCAAGCAGGATTCACTTCCAAAACAACACAGTTGTTGGCAATCTTCAGTTCCTAGCACATTACTGGAACAAGGATCTGTTTTCTTGTTGACTACTGGCCAGAGGCCACCCTTAGTTTCTGGCCATGAGGCCGTCTCCAAAGGCTGGTTTACAGCATGGCAGTTGCTTCTTCAAAGTCAACAAGGAGTCTCTTAATAAGATGGATATTAGAATTTGGTGTAATCATGTCCATCTCATCATCTTCATGGTAGTCTATGGATTAGAATCAAGTCATAAGAGTCTCCCTCCACACAAGGAATACCAAGGGACAGGGATTATAGTGGCCACTTTAGCGTCTGCCACACCTAGGATGTTAATTTGTTCCTGAAAAGCAAATGTAGATTTGCTTCTGCCATGCATCTGGGAGCTCTAAAAATCTTAGGTAACCTCAGTCAAATTTCAGAGACTGAGGGTATTTGAAGCTGGGCTGCCATCTCTTTGAAGGCCTGCTTACCTCTGGACCATTGTTACTCCTAATGAGTAGTCATTTGGGATCCTCACTCCAAGTAAGGGAAAGGGTTTGCCAGTGCAGGTCCCTCTTCCTTGTCCCATAAGGTTACCAAAATGGCCGTTCAACATCTCAGCAATCACTTACCACTTACAGAATTGGCCAAGACAGGGGAAAACAGCTTCCCTACCAAAGTTTCTGTTTCCTTAGGAACTCTTCATTGTTGCCAGCTCAGGTGTTTTTAATTAATTTATTTTTAGTTTGCCTTTTTATTTTAGAGATGGGGTCTCCCTATATTGCTGTTGCTGTTCTCAAACTCCTGGGATCAAGTGATCCCCTCGCCTTGGCCTCCCAAAGTGCTGGGATTAAAGGTGTCAGCCACCACACCCAGCCCAGATGTTTTAAAATTTTTGTTCAGCTGCCAGCTTTTCTCGATGTTCTCAGAGAAGATCTAGGACAAATTTCTTGGTCCATCATTATCATAAATCAAAGCCTTTATTTTTATTTATTGTAGAGATGGGATCTCCCTATACTGCCCAGGCTAGTCTTCAACTCCTGGCCTCAAGCGATCCTCCTGCCTTGGCTTCCCAAACTACTGGATTACAGGTGTGAGCCATTGTGCTCAGCCTACTTTTTTATGTCCAGCCTTTGGAGAGGGCCACATGGCAAGAAATTAAGGGTGGTTTCTAGCCAGCTGGCAGAACCCCCACATCCCACGCCTTGGCAGGTAGCCTCCAGTGGGCCCCCAGCCCCACCACGTGGCGTGGACCAGGAATCACATGAGCTTTGGCAGCAAGAAAACAGATTCTTGTTCCAATGGTTTGCTAGGAACTGAATACTGCGAACAACATTGTTATCGTGGAAGTGAACCCTGCTTCAGTGGGGCCTCAGCTGTGATCTCAGCTCTGAACACATCTGAAACACAGATGTGTTTCAACATAACCAAACCTAAAGCAAAACAAAGGAAAAAGATTAGAGAGTACTAATTATATTGAATATTTCTATTTCTGGCACTTCCCATAATTTGGAAAATACAGTATTATTAAATACTGCCTTTTTTTTGCTTTTTTTTTTTTTTTTTTTTTTTTTTTGAGATGGTGTCTCACTCTATAGCCCAGGCTGGAGTGCAGTGGCACGATCTTGGTTCATTGCAACCTCTGCCTCCCGGGTACCGGTTCAAGCAATGCTCCTGCCTGAGCCTCTGGAGTAGCTGCGATTACAGGAATGCGTCACCATGCCCAGCTACTTTTTGTATTTTTAGTAGAGATGGGGTTTCACCATGTTGGCCAGGCTGTTCTTGAACTCCTGACCTCGTGATCTGCCTGCCTCGACCTCCCAAAGTGCTGGGATTACAGGCGTAAGCCACCACACCTGGCCAAATACTGCATTTTTATGGCTAAAACGTGAATCTAGAAATTAGCATGGATTTAGGAAATGTTTTAGATCAGTCGATATTTTACTAATATCCCCATATAAAAGTCTTAAATATTGAGTATTCTTACAAATTATACACAGTATTGAATTGCTCAAGACTGCACTGCCAAATAAAAACAACACAGATTAAACTAGCAAACTGTAGTTGTCTATGGTGCTATGATATAAAGTTAGAATATTTGAAGGACATTAACATGTACTTCATTTCAAAAGGAAAGCCTGAAATTGATGAAAACTTTGATAGTCCATCCCTACCTTTAAAATACACTGATTTTGGAGGATATTATATAAATTTGGCAGCCTTTTATTCTTACGTAAATAAAGCATCAGGCTTTATTTTTAAAGATCTGTAACTACTGGATATACTTTTAAAATAAATAGGCTCATGCCTGTAATCCCAGCACTTTGGGAGGCCGAGGCAGGAGGTTCACCTGAATCCAAGATTTTGAGATCAAGCTGCGCAAAGTAGTGAGACCTCATCTCTACAAAAAAATAACTAAACATTAGCCAGCATGGTGGCGTGAGCCTGTAGTCCTATCTCCTCAGGAAGCTGAGGTGCGAGAATCACTAGAGTCTGGGCAGTTGAGGCTACAATGTGCAGAGATCAAGTCACTGCAATCTAGGATAGGCGACAGATATCTTGTATCAAAAAAGGAGGAATACCTAAGAGAATAAAATATGCCTACTTGTTTCAGGAATAAATTAAAAAAAATAACCTATCAACTACCTTTAGTGGAGACCACTAGCTGTAGCTACCTCAATTCTGTACTTTTTTTCCCACAACTTTTCCTGGGCACATGACTACATGGAATGAAAGCTGTATTTTGCATCCTTCCTTGCAATTTACAAGTGGGGCATTATGACTAAGTCTGGCCAATGACATTTAAAGAGAAGTACTGGGTACAACTTCTGGGAAATTTCTTTAGACAGGGGATGGAACTTTCTCACTGCCCTCCTTCTTGCTGGCCAGAGGGCTTTGTGAGGGCTAGAGCTTCACCAGCAACCTTGGATCATGGGTTGAATGCCAAATGCTGAGGCTGGTAGAGTAACACAGCAATCTTGAAATACTTACCTCTGGAATTTTCATGTTAGAGGAAAAAAAAATTTTTTTTTTTTTTAAAGCCTCTAGCATTTAGGATTTTAGTTTTATGCTGCTGAACCTAATCTTAAGTGATGATACACTTTTCAATTGCTGGCATATTATTCCTTTATTAGAAATTGTAAATGAGAAATTATATCAACACCTGAGGACCAAACTACAACAGAATATTCCATAGGCTCAAGATTTTTAGACATTCTGGAAAGAGTTTTCTGCAAGGTATATTCTTTCCGTGGCATGGCAACATCATCGTTCTTTAAAAAAGTGACTGGACAGACATCATTTCCACCATCACCAATATAAACAATTTGTGTATAATTCACTCCCTGTTGTAGCTGTTTATCTAAAAATTCTATCAAAACTGCCTTTTTGCAAAGATTCTTAGGGCATCGATTGCAAGAATGAGTATGATAATTTTCCACAGTGAGATGACCATTGCTATTAAAAGCTGCTGGATTTGTAAACACTTTATCAAACACGTCATGAAAACCGGCAGCTTCTAAAACCCAATCTATGAAGACCGAATTTGAATCTGAAATAATGATGCAATCAAATTTATCCTTATTCCTTCTTATAAAGTTGAAGAGTTCCACCATCCCTGGAGTGAAAGGCATTGATATCACTGCTCTTTTCATTTCATGTTCTCTTACACCTTTATCTCCCAAATACTTAAAGACTCTGCCCATAAATTCTGTCCAAAATCCTTTTTGATAAGAATCACTTAGTTCAGTAGGAAGCTTTTTGTTTGGAGCACATCGTACAATCCAGGTGTCACTATTGTCATCTATGATTGTATTGTCAAAGTCAAAAACCAGCAAAATTTTCATGGTTCCAGAAGATTTGGATTACCCTGAAAAACAAGAAATATTATTCCCTAAACATGCTCTGTTTATGTGTCTAGCTAAAATATTTATTTAATAAACATAACTAAATGTTAATCTGCTAAAACAAGGAATATAAACAAAGTGATTAAGTATTAAGACCACTACCTAACTAATTTTCCCTAAGAAGCAAAATTCATATTTGAGTACAAAATACATAAAAAGGACACTCATAGTATTATCGTGTTCCTGGGGGCATGTTTCTTATAGAAGTTATAAGACAGAAAAAAATGCATTCTTATTTTCATTAAATCATCAATCACAATCACACTTATTAGATTAAAATATTTACAATAATCCTTATATTAAATAACAGGTCATGTATAACAGACTATGTACTAAACAAAATTCTGAACAAATTTAACATAACATGAAATCCTGCAAGATGTAAAATAACTTTTTTAAAAAAGATATTTACTAACCAAAATAAGCAATGAGGAAAGGATTCCCTATTTAATAAATGGTGCTAGAAGAACTGGCTAGCCATATGCAGATAATTCAAACTGGACCCCTTCCTTATACCATATACAAAAATGAACTTCAGATGGATTAAACACTTAAGTGTAAAACCCAAAACTATAAAGGCCCTAGAAGAAACTAGGCAATACCATTCAGGACACAGTCATGGGCAAAGATTTCATGATAAAGATGCCAAAAGCAAATGCAACGAAAGCAAAAATTGACAAATGCTATCTAATTAAAAAAAAGAGCTTCTGCACAGCAAAAGAAACTATCAACAGAGTAAACAGACAACCTAGAGAATGGGAGAAAATTTTTGCAATCTATCCATCTGACAAAGGTCTAATATCCAGCAAATATTATAAAGTTGAAAAGTTTCACCATCCCTGGAGTCAAAGGCATTGATGTCACCACTGTTTTAATTTTACCTACTCTTTTGCCTTTATCTCCCAAATATTTAAAGACTCTGCCCTTAAAATCTGTCCAAAATCCTTTTTGATAAGAATCATGTAGTTCTGGTGGGGTGCGGTGCCTCACCCCTGTAATCCCAGCACTTTGGGAGGCCAAGCCAGGCAGATCACAAGGTCAGGAGTTCAAGACCAGCCTAGCCAACATGGTGAAACCCTGTCTATACTAAAGATACAAAAAATTAGCTGGGTGCAGTGGTGGGCACCTGCAATCCCAGCTACTCGGGAGGCTGAGGCAGAAGAATCACTTGAACCCAGGAGACAGAGGTTGCAGTGAGCCAAGATCACGCCATTGCACTCCAGCCTGACAGGGCAAGGCTCCATCTCAAAAAAAAAAAAAAAGAATCATGTAGTTTCTTGTTAAGGAACTTAAACAAATTTACAAGAAAAAAAACAGCCCCATTAAGAAGTGGGCAAAGGACATAGACAATTCTGGAAAGAAGACAATACATGCGGCCAACAAATACATGAAAAAAAAGCTCAACATCACTGGTCATTAGAGAAGTGCAAATTAAAACCACAGTGAGATACCATCTCATACCAGTAAGGATGGCTATTATTAAAAAGCTAAAATACAACAGACGCTGGCAATGTTGTGGAGAAAAAGGAATGCTTTTATACCATTAGTACGAGTGTAAATTAGTTCAGCCATTGTGGGAGACAGTGTGACGATTTCTCAAAGACCTAGAGGCAGAAATATCACTTGACCCAGCAAGCCAATTACTTGGTATATACCCAAAAGAATATAAATCATTCTATTATAAAGATACACGCATACATATGTTCACTGCAGCACTGTTCACAATAGCAAAGACATAGAATCAACCTAAATGCCCATCAATGATAGACTGGATAAAGAAAATGTGGTACTTATACACCATGCAGCTATACTATGCAGGAATACTATGCAGCTATAAAAAGGAATGAGATGATGTCCTTCACAGGGACACAGATGGAGCTGGAAGCCACTATCCTCAGCAAACTAATGCAGGAACCAAAAAACAAACAAAGAAACAAAAAACCACTACATGTTCTCACTTATAAGTGGGAGCTGAATCATAAGAACAAATGGAAGGGAACAACACACACTGGGGCCTGTTGGAGGCTGGGAAGTGGGAAGAGGCAGAGCATCATTTAGAACAGCTAGTGGATGCTGGGCTTAATACCTAGGTGATGTGATGATCTGTGCAGCAAACCGTCACGGCACATGTTTTCCTATGTAACAGATCTACACATCCTGCACATGTACCCCTGAATTTAAAAGCAGGAAATAAAAAAATTATATAAGGTATTTAGCTTAAAATCAGTTTCTAAATGCCAATATTATAATTAAATGATTGTTGACACTCTATATGATATTCTAAACAAATCACCTGAGAACTGGAGGCCAATTTAATTCTTCCAAAATAGAAGTAACTTGGTTAAGAGTTTTCACATGTTTATTTATAGCTGCTCTAGATAGTTTAGCTCTAGGGTGCTAAATAATTTGAATACACCTGAGTAATCATACTGTTTATGGTGTGACAATTACTTGTGTCTCTGTTTTCATTAGAAGACAATGAAGGTGATTAATGATAAATCTCAAGAGAAAAGGAAAGAATAAGCTGGTCAACTGACGGTAAGAATAAAAATCATTTATTAAAAAAACTATATAGAATATCCAGAAAAGGATATAATTAATGTGTATAAACAGATAATAATTTTGAGAGTCACTATATGCCAGGCACTGGCCTAAAAACTTTACAATATCATATCATTTAATTGTCACAAACCTATTAAGTAGGAATAATTATTATCCTCTTCTTAAAGATAAATAAACTGGATCTGAAAGTGATTAGGTGTTAGTAAAGTGCCAGAGCTGGAATCTCAGACACAGGCTGACTTGATTCCAAACTTCATGCTTTTAAGTATCAAATTATAGTGCTAAAAAATAGAATATTTAATGACTACTCATTAGTTTAAAAATAAAATACTAAGTAGGTCACTTTGGCAGAAAGGTATTTAATTACATAAAAACATTCATTAGTTTCAAAGTACACGCTAACCATAACACCACCTCTGTGATCCACTTTACAACCATTTTGCGGTTTCTGCAAGAAATCCTAAAAAGGCACAGAACCTCACCAATAAGAAAAAGATCAATTAAAAATGAAAAACATGGCATTTAACCACATATATTCTCCAGTTTATAACCCAGTAGTGAAGACAGAATAGAGCTCTTGATCATGTAAGTATTCTGAATCACTGAGTATTCTGTGTCTCTTAATTTAGCATACCTAGAGAATAATTAGCCTACAGGGGCATCACCTGTTGTGTGAATGTGGCTCGTACATAATATTTTGTTACTCTGGATCCTTTTATCACTAAATGCCTAATCCAGGTGCTTCTGACTCTTGAGATTTAAATATAAAATTCACTTTCCCACAGAAACAGTGAAATAAATAAGGCATAATTGACAATCACATTAGTACTGTAACGAGGCACATTTTAAATTAAACATGCTTTCTGAGAATTCTGAATTTATAATTAAAACAAATTTCAAATGTAACTCACTGCTGTTTAAAAACTGCCTCAAGCCTAAACTTAATTAGCCATAAATTACTGAAATTCCTGAACTATTAGCCTCAAAATAGCAGGAGACTGAGGTAACATAGTTCCCCTGCTGATGTGAAAATGCACTCTAAAAAATTTCACATCTTTTTTTTTTTTTTTTTTTTTTTTTTTTTTTAAAGATGGGGTTTCACCATGATGGCCAGGCTGGTCTTGAACTCCTGACCTCAGGTGATCCACCCACCTCGGCCTCCCAAAGTGCTAGGATTACAGGCGTGAGCCACCGCACCCGGCATATCTTTTTCTATTAGTCTTTTCTCACCACTCAATATAAACCTTTATAAAAATACTTACCCAAATTAGTATTTCCAAGACAATCTTACTTCAGCATTGGAATTAGGACAAACAGTCACAACAATCTTCAATTTTAAACACCAGCCAGTTGTTTTCAAACATTACTCCCATTCTATATACAGGAAACAGAGTCTTCTGGTTTTCAGCAAAAGAATGGAAACTTCTTAACTCCTAAAATTAATAAAAGTATTTCAAAAGCTTTAACATTTGTGTTTTGTAATTATGTTGTCTTTCCTTACATCAGAAAATCATCTCTTGGCAATACGATAAACAAAGTTTTGATTAAACAAAATACGAAATGTTATGTGAAAATAAGTTTTTGTCCAGTGGATAAAATCAAAATGTTAAGCTGATTGAGATTTTCAGAGTCCACTTTTTCTTTTTACTTAATACTAGCGGAATTCCACATTCTATTGTCAATAGACATTCAGAAATTTAGTGCTGTACTTAAAATGTCTCCAAAAATTAAGGATATGCACAAAGATTTAGTTTTAAGAATGCAAATCTATTTTGAAACCAATTTGTTAAAATTCCAAAAAGTTAACTGTTCTCTTCAAAAGCACAATCTGTATCTATTTGGCAAGTCTGCAATGTTTCCATAATGTAACAATATCCTATGTACTTTACACAAAAATTAAAATTAGAAACCACACAGACATCCAAGAATTGGGAATTAATAAGAGATGCATGTGATAGCATATAACAGAATATCCAGCCAGTCAAAGCTACGGTTTTCAGTTCAAATTAATAAGCAAGTCACAAAATAGTGTGTACAGTATAATCCTGTTTCTGTTTTAGAAAATGTTTACTTGTGCAGTGGGATGGTTATGGTTGGTTCAACCATAGTTCACTATTTCTACATTAATTTTGTAATAAAATTTTTTTCCTTCTCAGAATAATTTAAACTCTGTTTCAGATCAGAGTGTATATGTTACCTTCTTAAATGCACAGCAAAGAAAAAAGAGTGGTGGGTATAGGAGACATAACTAGATTGAGTTGGTTGTGACAATCCACAGGTTAGAGCTGGAATCTCGAGTTTGAAGTCAAATGATATCAAATTATACCTGACCACCATGTCAAATCGGCAAGTAATTGACATCAAATCATGAGATTCAATACTTTTTACAACCAATTTTGTTAAAATTCCAGAGAATTTTTGTTGGAAGACAATTCTCTCTGTGTCTCTGGTGGTTCTGCATGTCTTACAAGCAAGGCACTCACTGACTGCCCTTTGCCCTAGACTATTGTCTCAAGGATGTTTGTACGGGGGACAGCCTTGAAAAACATACTTTTTTGTCCAAATGATAAAGATTTGGGTTCCCTAAGCTCAGGTCTCCTTTCCTGTAATTCAACACATTCTACATCTAGGTGACTTCTTGCCCACTTTACATCATCCTGTGGGAACTGGGAGTTGAGGGAACTCAGGCAAAATTGCTGATAGTCTGGCTACCACTGGGAGTAATTCATCCCTGAAATGAATAGGGATGAATGTGTCTTCCATGAAACTGTGTCAGCTAAGTCAGCTTGCAAACAGTAAAACCTCTGATTCTTCCCAGCTCTTAACACCTTTTAAGCTATGCTTCCAAAAACCTACTAGCGCTGTATGTGCACAAACTAATTTCTGTCTACAATATTTTAATTATTGCATACTTACCAGCATTATTATGTGGAACATCTGATCGAAAACCTGAAGAAAAATAACACGACTATGTGTTAGAACTTTCGTTGTTAAAATCGTTTTGTTCTTTCATTTTGAGAGACTCCAATTTGGCGCATAACGTGTACATGTCAGAGCCAACTTGTTAGTAATTATCTGTACATCAATGCGTTAGAAAAGGATCTTTTGAAACCAAGCAAGCAGCTACTCCTAACAGATTTCCGTGGTCATGTATTTACCAAGAAATTTAAATATCTCAAAGGTCCTAACATGAATGTTCTAAACATATCATTAAGTTTTAACATTCCTATTTAAAAAAACCAGCCCCATCTAGTCCTGACCGTGCCTCAGAAACCAAAGGATTTTAAAACAGCGTTATGTCAACGAATCTGCGGGTTTTTATAGAGAAGGGGGGCTTTGCTCCTCACATTCCACCCGCAAGGAGATGTGCGGGCTCACACACCTGCCAGCTCCACCCCGAGGGCAGGCATGAGACCCAGTTGGCGGTCTTCCCGCGTGGGGCGCGCACCAGGTGGGGATGGGAGTAGCAGGCAGGGCGGGGGCCCAGGGATTTCTCACTGACCCAGGCCCGCCGTCTGCAGCCGCCCCGGCGCCCGTGACGCTCCTGCGGGTTCAGTCCTTTGGCCTTGCCCCACGCCTGCCCGCTAGGCCGCCCCACTCACAAGCCCGGCTCTTGGGCGCAGGCGCCTCTCTTCTCTAGCCGGACTGCCAACTACAGCACCTTCCTTGTTCCTCCGGGAAGGCTGCCGTCACTTCCGGCGGCGTTGCCGAGCAACCGCGTGGTTCGAGAAACACTCCGCTGGCTGGAGTCGGCGGCGTATGGCTGCGCCGGAGTCACTTTTCCAAATTTGGGAGCACCATGGGTACCTCGTCCGAGATACTGGTACGGTTCGGACGGCGCTGTGGACAATCAAAGGAAAGCACAGGTGAGCGAAACTGACCCATTCAGGGACAGGGATTGTTTTGGACCCCCGGCAGGGAGAGGTGAGGATGCTGAATGAGGACTTCAGTTGCCTATTGAAATGAACTTCAACAAGTCGAAAGCATCTTCAATAAGCATCTTTGGGCTCTGTGGAAGCTAGGTCGTCTTGCCCTTAGGTGAATGAGTGGAGGAGAGAAACAGGGAGTGGACGTGGGAGAATGTTTGCAAAAATAGGGGTGGAGAAAAGAGGAAATCAGAGACACCCACAACCCCCATCCCCCCCGCCGCCCCCCCTCCCCCCCGCTGCACCCCCCATCTCCTCCGCTGCACCCCACACCGGCCCCCATCACTCCCTCTGCCCCAGGCTGACCTGAAACCGCGCAGTTGCAGCTCTGAGAGTCTGGGCTTTGTTAAATTTACCGCACGCTTAAAGTTTGTTATTCACTGATTCTGTTGAAATATCTCTCGGAAATATAAGCGACCTCTTTAGAGTCTTGGCTCTGCTGCAAGCCTGCTGATTGGTGTTTACTAAAAGTCTCTGAAGGAAATATCTCCATTTCCTCCTCTCTGAAGTAAAGATCTCTAAGTTAAATGCTTTCATAGAGTTAAAAAATAAAAGTCAGACGACATAAAGTACTGTAATTCAGATGACCTATTATAACAATTTGATTTTGGAATAGAAATAGACTTCTAAAGAACTCTATCAATTCTAACTACGACTGTTTAAGTCTGTAAATTAGCAATTAATGTTGTCATGGTAACAACTAGACCTTTGGCAATTTGAAGTATCTTCATGTCATTGCCCAAGCTTCTGAAGCAATAGTGCCGCAGGGTGAGAGCCAGCCATTTCTTCACTACTACATATTTATGCAGTGAAGGTTTTATGAGGTTAGCAGCGGACTTTTGCATGTAAAAGGAGAGAGACAGTACTAATATGGCAGGTATTGAAAAAGCACAATTACTCCCACACATTCACTTTCCTGCATATGCATTTCTGCATTACCTGATTTAGATTTACCTAATAGTTGTTAAATAATGTTTGTGGCAGCTGGCTCAAAAGCTTCCATCTGAGTCTCATTGCTAAATTTTAATCTCCACTTGGAGGGGAAGTTTAAGTAGGGGAAGTTTAAGTAGGGGTTCAAAGATGGGTACAGCTATTTGTAAAACAAATAATTTATAAAGATTTAGTGGGGTGACATCAGCCAGAATGGTGAAATAGGATCTATGCCTGCAATCCTCTCCTCCATAAAATCAACAAGAACAGTGGCAAAAATCATCAATATCAGCTTTTTCAGAACTCTGGAAATTAACCAAAGGTTTGCAACAATCTGGGGAGTATTTACTAAAGGAAAATAGCTGAATTTTTGTAACAACAGCAAGGTTTTTGGCATTTTAACTTGCCATAGTCCTATACTTTTCTCCCAGTGCCATGGCAGCCTAGATAACCACAGCAATCACAGTGAAAAATAGTGACTTAGCAACTTGTAGAGGGTACAAAACAGAATTTGACCCACTTCAAAGCCAGATAACTGTTATTATTTGACATGACTGATAGTTCCTTGGAAAATCTCACTCATGAGGCTTATTATTATTTGGTCTGACTTCAAGCTTACCAAGTATGTTTGTCAAATGATCAGTGGCAATTTTAACTATCACAGCTACCTGAGACATTGCCGTAGTTTGAATGTGTCCTCTAAAAAGCATGTGTGGGAACTTAATCCCCAATATAATAATGTTGGGAGGAAGGGACTAATGAGAGGTGATTAGGTCGTGAGGGCAGAGTAAAGGGATTAATGCCATTATCTTGGGAGTGGGTTCATTATAAATGTGGGAAGGTAGGCCTCCCCCCTCCCCCTCCCCTCCCCCCTCCCTCCTCCCCCTCCCTTCCCCCCTGCGTGTTCCCCCCACCCCCACCCTTTCTTTGCTGTTTTGCCATGTAATGCCTTCCATCATATTATGATGCAGCAAGAAAGCCCCTGCTAGATGCTGGCACCTTGATATTGGGTTTCTCAGCTTCCAGAACCATAAGCCAATAAATTTCTATTCTTTATAAATTACCCAGTCCCAGGTATCCTAATAGCATGAAATAGGCTGGCAGTGATACAGTTGGTGGCAAACAAACTGACCAAAAAACTGAAAAGGATCAGTTGGAAAGTGATATGTCCATAGGGGCTTTGGAAAGCTTCTAGATTTGGGAATCTAGAAAGCCAAATGCATGCGTAGAGCTATGTACATGCTCAGGAAAGACCTGGACCACAGAGACATTGTCAACAACAGCAACAACAATAAAAAGGAATTAAGTATTGATACATTCTACAATGTGTGTGAACCTTGAAAACATTCTTTGAGTGAAAGAAGACAGATATAAAAAGTATGATTCCATGCATATGAAATGTCTTGAATAGGCAAATCCATAGAGCCAGAAAGTAGATTAATGGTTACCAGGAGCTGTGAGGAGGAGAGGGCTGCTAATGCATACAGAGCTTCCTTCTGGGGTGATGAAAATGTTCTGAATTAAATAGTGGTGATAGTTGCCCAGCTTTGTGAATAGAGTAAAAACTGTTGAGTGAATAAATATTCACCCTTTACAGTGGTGAATTTTTATATGTATTATAACTCAATAAAAAGATGATCTAATCCATGGAAAATGTGTCAATATGGCAGGTACATGGACTGATTTTAGATACTTTAGGTAACTTGCCACTGCCTTTGTCCCCTCTCTCCTGCTTGTGAGTCTGCCTATTTATATTCTCTCTCTGTCCATCTGTCTCTGTCTTTCATGTCCCTTCATTCAACTGTGGCCTGCCCTCTTGAACTTCTCTAACAGCCTCTACTAACATTGTATGAGAACCACTGTGAGGTAGGAATCTTGGAAGTCAGACTGCCCTATAAGAACTAAATTTTACATCAACCAGTGGATTAAAGCGGGGATATATGAAATCATCTATAACTCTGATCTTAACCAAGGCTTTCCTGATCTTCAAAGTACGGGGGAACTTTGCCCCAACTTCAGTGGCCTGAGATAGTAAAAAGCCTTTCCCAAGTTTCCTGTTGTCTTCATTTTTTTCTTTGTGGTTACCCACCTCTATTCCTGCGTTTGTGGTTCTCTTTGTTCATTGTTGTATCAGAGTCCATGAAAAGATCTACTTATATAAAACATCCTGTGAACACAGTTACTATAGATTTGAGATGTCAAAGAGGAGGGATCATGCTGTGTACTGCATAGCTTGCTAAAATCCTGCTCTCCTGCCACCACTGTCAAGGCCACTTACCACTGTATGCTTTGTGGGGAGCATCTCCTGCCAGAATGGGCCATTGGCTCTACTGAGCCTCTTTAGAATTTTGGTGAATTAAATTTTCTGCATTTTATTTCACATATTAAAGAATGAGAATGACTCTCAGGTCAGACAAAAATATTAACATGCCTAGCAATTTGTTAATCAAAAGGCAGATGGTTTAACTTAGAGGCGGTTGTTTGGTTAGCTTCTGATAGCAAGTAACACAAGCCAAGGTGAGCTGGTCTAGGCAAAATAAAGGAAATTTGTTACAAGGATATAAGGATATATTGGTCATGACTCTTAAGTGGAACAGGGTCCTGAATCAAGTTACACCACAATCCCCAGATAGGGGAGACACAATATTCTCCTTTTTGTTGTAACTACTATGAGTTATATCAGTCATTTGCAACTAAAGAGTCATGATGATACTCTTCGCAACTCAAGATAATACTCTTTACAGCTAAAGAGTCATGATAAAGTCAGCTTTGTTTGGCTTTATTCTGCATGCAGATGTTTGGTATGTGGTAGGCAAGACAGAACCTGTGGTTTAAACTCAACACTTTAGCCACCAGCTTCTAACTGCTTTTCTTTCAGTGTCTTTCTCTTTCTGGAACCACGTGATTTTCTTCCTTCTGCCTTTCTCTCTACTTCTGTTTCATTCTTCTCCTCATACAAATAGTAAAAATAATAATAGCTAATATTTGTTGAGAACATATTATGTACCTGGTGCTAGTCTAAATTCTTTACATACAGTAGGTACTGTTAATGACCCCATTTTACAATTAAGGAAACAAACTCACAAGGGTTAAGTAATTTTGTCTACATTCATATAGTTAATATATGGTGTGTTTAGAAAAAGTTCAGGTAGTCTGACTCCAGAATCCACACTCTTACCCACTCTGCTATCCTACCTTTGTTATGCCTGTGGCTACCTATCATTGTTCAAATGACTTTCCTATTTTGGTGAATCTCCTTCCTTTGATGTCCTACCTCCTTAAGATAGAAGGCAGAATTCATGTTTTCAGCTTCCCTTACAGCTGGAGTACAAGCATGGGATAAAGACTCAGCCAATCAATTTTACATATGCCAGATTGATAGTCTGAAGAGAGCAATATAAGGAAGCAAACAGCGTGTTGAATCAATTTGTGAGTGTGTGTGTAGAAAATGGCAACAAAAGTGTACCAATTTCAGAGGCAACGGTGGTGCAGATTCAAGTATATGGTATCCAGTGGGGCAAGTTGTAAATGGGGCAAGTTGAGATGCCTACACAAAGCCCGTTGCCGTGTGCCCTCCCTGGAACCTCTTGATGTGGTTTGTATGATGTTTTGCATATATAGCTTATATGGATGACTATAGCTCTCTACGAGATTGAAAATCCATTACTTAATGCCCCTGAATGAATTTCTTTTCTGCCTAAACTAGTTAGAGTAAGTTTGGCTGGTAATAATTAAGAACCTCAATTGATTAAATGGGTAGGACCATTTTT